TGATGTGGGCGGAAACTTCAAGACACATAGCGTTTCGAGACTCACTTAGACAGTGGTTCTCAAATATTGTAATAGATATGTATTATTTGGGCTAAATAATTATCGTTCACCATAATTCTTTTTGTTTCGATTGCAACTCAACTTACAACGTAATTTTTTGTAAGTATATGTGAAAAGTTTTACCGTAAAGTAACTTTATAAAATACATCATAATTTAAGACGTTTTCGTTATGTGGGATGTCCATACGACCACTCCGTCATATTTCAGCACTCAGTCCCTATTTCACTCTAAGGCTGTTTCTATTTTTGCTTAACAATCGTCTTGAGGAGATCGTTTTAAGCGACGAGGATGCGTATTATATTGTTTCAATTCGGTCTGGATAGGACACACTCTACGGCGCAGCGAAGTCAACGCAGCATCAATTGCGTTTGAGTGGCAGCCGCTCGGCAAGAGAAGACCTAGAATACTCTAATCTGTTGTGTAGAAGGTACCGCGGTATTTGTATTTAAATACATAATATTGTTGTAATTATTCAAGTATGTAATCGCAGAACTGTTTATTTTTTAAACTCAAATAAAATAAACGGCAAAAAATATAACAGAAAAGTGCCTCCTTGTGGCACGTCGCAATAGATATACTACTGGAGGTTTTAACACAAGAAGGATTAACGTCACGCGTATTAATGTAGGTCTTAAAACTCATGCCAAATCTCAATGCAGCATAGTAAGAAGCCAATCTGTGGGACAGGACGGTACCCGTAATGTGGGATAAAAACAAGATGAAGAAGTTCAGTTTTCTTACTTATTGAAACGTCAGCAATTACTTATTGAATTATGGATTAAAATCCGTGATATATTTAATTGGATACGGTGACCCGGAGACGAGCTATTTAAGATGAAACTAACGCTCTTTTTAACAAATTAGCGTTGGCCCGATTCGACAATCAAAACTAAAAGGCCCCATTGAAAATCTACGGTATTACTTTGATAATAAAATGGATGCATAATTGAAATTATTAACAGTTAAAAATGTAATAAATTTGAGAGCCATCGACTTTCCCATCCGAGACTCCGGTACGTCGATCATTGAACTTAATCGTCACGCAACTCAGTGAGTGAAAGCAACTATTGTTGTTCCGAAGTTGCGCAACACACGCAACAGCAGCGTAATTTCGCGATTGAAATTAATTATGACTCATTCAAGCTCACGCACACTCGCTTAAGTAAGTCACACGATATATTTTTTTAAGAACTGATTGACGACTCCTCTGATACTAAGTGCCGAAGTCTACAGCCAGGCCACCGGTTTTGAAACAAGATAATTCTAATAGCACTTATCCCTTCATTAATGCTCACATGAATAAAGCCACCTATGAACCTACTATTCCCACGTCGTGGAATTCATTCGCGAACATGAGTTTAATAACGTATTAATTCACATCAGATACTAGATTACGACTTGGCATAGTCGCATTGTTCAGTACAATTATACCGGACCTCTTCTTATCCTATACGACGACTTCTAAGTCGTTTAAAAAAAATTCACGGTCGCTTATGGCCATCACAATGCCTGAGATACGGCCACAACTGTAGCTTCCTAAGGAGACCATTTAGGCTTCGTTTTAATTCGACTATCCAATAGCGTCCAAAAACACCTCGGAAAATTCATTAATACTGCGTTGAAAAATATTTTTTTTAAACGCATTGACTTAGCGGCTCTAGATTCTAAGAGACTTAGATGCGAAAACTGACGGTTCTTCAAAATTTCTTATGACCCTTTTGAGCGACATCATCTCGAACGATTATAAAAGACCGTTGTTTAGTTGTTTATGTCTTATTGACTAATAAAATGAATCTCGTTTTTTTTTAATTGATTAGAAAATAAATCGGATTCAGTAAATTTTTAAGCTATTTCATAACTGTAATCGCGCGAATCAAGATTTTCCGTAACGAAAATAAAACCTAACACCCCGACTCCGCCTACCATGTAGCTCGTGTTCAACACATTTACACGTTGCGCTTGTCTAGGGTTTGTGAATAAGCGCACGGCGTGACGTCGCACTGCGTGCGCATCATGAAAAGTCTGCCCATCTCTCTCTCGCGCGGTCTAGCTTATGAGTGTGAAGGGGTCAGTTAATGTTTTGCTTTTGTTAATATTTATAAATACAGCGTTGTCTTATTTTATTATTGTTTTAATATTAAATTATTCTTGTCTAATTGTAATTACATAAGTTGATAAAAAATGCTATGTGATAACTTTACCGCGGCAGTCCCCGATCGCCAAACGTGTTTTTTTTTTATAAGTTCACGTTCGACTCTGATAGTATTCCGTTCATGTCTAATGATGAATTGATATGACGCGATTTTACATTCCTCTAATTATTTTGTACACGCGAGACATAATAATTGCGCATTAAAAACTTACAAACAACGCTTAGTCGGGAAGCCTTCAATCCCTCTGACGCTTTTCAAGGAACTTCCCGGAGCTTTCGAGATGTAGAGAACTTTTCGAGCAAGTGTACGCGCGCGTAACTTGTGTTTTAGAGTGTACTTCATGGAATTAAATATTTTATTAATTCCCTTCTGCGCTGTTCAGCGGAGCTTCTTTAAAACGAGATTATTTCTCGAGGGTTTTTGTAATCGATTTTGTTTTGAAACTGGTCAGCGATTTCTATTGAGACTGATAATATGATTATTGCGAAATTCGTAGTCACAAAACACACATTTGTTTACGTGCTACCACTATAATGACAGGATATTGCCATATCATGAGACAGGACGAAGACCATCTAGTGAAGATCGCATTAAGCTTGCCAGAACCAAAGGGAGGTAGAGGCCGCCAGCCATCGACCTGGGGGTCAAACATGTCCTTCTTCAAACGAGGCTTGTGGAGAGTATTAAGCGGTAGGCAGCGGCTTGGCTCTGCCCCTGGCATTGCTGAAGTCCATGGGCGACGGTAACCACTCACCATCAGGTGGGCCGTATGCTCGTCTGCCTACAAAGGCAATAAAAAAAAACATGGAAAGAGACCTTAAGAAAGCCCAATTGCCAAAACCGACAACCCAGGACAGATCAGCCTGGCGCCGTAGAGTGAGGAGACCCGACCCCAAATACCGGGAACAGGGACGGATAGTAGTAGTAGTAGTAGTACTATAATGCAAGGATATTTAATGAAGTAAAATACGTGAAGTTTCTATTCCGTGTTTACTTGTGAACGTACTTTGGGGTGTTGGGGGGCGAATATTGAAACTGCCGCTAAGAACGGCGTTTTTAATACGCTTTTATTAGCTTCAGACGTATGTATGGTTGTAACGGAATCTTTGAACATGATTTTGACCCCCTTCAAAACGTCGGATTAACTCGAAATTTGATATACATATTAAGAAGCGATGTCAATTTAATATTAAAAAAAATAAATGAAATTCAACTAAAAATGAAAAATAAATAATAGTCTCAAAAAACTAACAAATTACGCTTTTATAAAAAATCCAACTAAAAAATAGAAAATAAATTTTAATAAATTGGAATTAAAAATAGTATAAGAAAAAATCATTTTATTGTAAACAAGCGTCAAAAACTAAAAGACTCGTGTTTTTGAAATAATTGCGATGAAATTCAGAGATACACAGCGGGCTAGCGTTTTACAATACATTTTGATAAAATTTCGATTCTTTTATGGTAATCCCAACCGAAGTGGATTTAGGTACAATGTTATTCTAACCCTTCTCAGCTCTGGCAACAGCTGGTAGAATCAACGCCCAAAGAAACCGTTTCCGTGTTTATTCGTTGACTTTCAGGGAATTTGTCAGAATATAAAACAGATAATGATGTTATACAAACTTATACTGCACCCAACAGCACAAGGCCTTTTTTTTTTAACGCTGGGGAATCCATTTACGGATACCCGGTCGAGGGGGGTAAGAGACCGGGTTATATCGGACTCCGGCGCCTCCAGAGAAGAACAGGGAGAAGAAGAAGACAGGGGTCCTCCTCTTCTCCCAATTCCTGCCGGAAGACTACGCCTTGAGAAAGGCGCGCGATGCACTGCACGGCGTCAGCCACGCAGGAGCTACCCCGCAAAACCGACTACCGACTAAGCCCCATCGAGCCCCACCACTCCGACTCCACGAAACCCACGGTACGGGACAGTGCACGCCGAAGGCTCGCCGTCGCCGGTACCCATCCTGATAATAGGACGGCACTCCATCCCCGGGAAAATCCCGCAGGACGTCGTCTCGGAGACACACCGTGAGCGGTGCACAGGAGCCACCTTGCGCCGCCTCACCACCGGAGCAAGACAAGACAAGAAGGGTCGTCGTACCCCCTTTCGGGGGTACGGAACGGGCCTCGGGGCAATCCCCACTGCCCGGGACGAAGCTCCCTGCCACATAGGGCAGGGGTGATATAGATGCAGGACGAGATGGGAGGGGACTGTTCGCAGCGTGTTCGGCACACTCACATCGACAAAATAAATAAATACTTAAATATAATACGATGGGNCAATTCAGGACCCGTCTTATGTCCCCGGGGTGGAAATCAGGCCCCGGGGGTCTATACGCGGCATAAACCCGCATATCTCCCCCCGAGGTGTGGATCCTCACACCGATCGACCTTGTCGATGTGAAGGCCAGCAAGTCCAACTGATCATGCACCACGTCTCGCCTGACGAGTGCCGCAGTGCCCCTGAACGGCATCCCGGCAGGACTCATCTCATCACGTCGGTACATGAAGTAGTTGGGAATCCTGAACACATCCCGAGGACGTAGCTTGGTCTCGCCCAGGAGCACAACCTCAGGGTTGTACTCCCGGGCGAGAACCAAGAGATCGTTCTTGCGGGTTTTTACCCCGCCGGGGTTCCAATAAATGATGCGCAGTTCCTGGCTAGCCATTGAACTGCGCAATCATTCGGTAGAACCCCGACAAGAGAGCCCCAAAAGGGCTGGCTCCCGAGGCGATCTCGCGGATCACTCCGGAGACCACCTCGGACAATTTTTCCCACATTACGAGGAGCCATGCAGCGAACCCGGCAGGCTGATGAGCCTGTCGGTCACTGCGCCGCTCGCGCTGTGGGCAGGGGGGAAGAGGGGGCTGTCGGAGGTAATTCGGTTCGGTCGATGGGGCCTCTGGTAGTACCGGGCCGTCACTAGTCGGGGGTTGGTCGTTGTAGGAGGCTTCGTCAGCTGACATTGCCTCCGCAGGGGTTGGTGGGGGATCCGGCACAACGGGCTCGGTCGTATCCCTATTCGCCTCTTCTCTTCTCTTTTTTTTTTTAATTTCTTTTTAATATTCTTTTTCCTGTTTTTCTCCTTCTTTTTATTATTCGTTGTGGCGGTGCTCTCGATGTTCAATATATGAGGCAGAGGTTTGGTCACTATTGTTTTAGTGTTGATGGATGCTCGACCACGAGGAGTAGGAATAGGCTTGTTTGTCTGCCTCGGTGGGTTGGCCTGTGCCATCAACGTAGTCGCTGACGGCCCAGCCTCCACCGCCGAGACAGACGGATAGGTACTAGGAGGGGGAGGGGCTGGGGTTTGGGAGGATTTCCCTTTCCCCTTCCCCTCCCCCTTGGGGATGGGTGCAGACACGACAGGAGCAGCAGCTGGAGCTGGGACATTCCTGGGCCGTGGCACCGGTGGAACAGGAGGGGGGATGGTTACTCCCATCATCCTGGCCCTCTTGCGGTAGACCACACACCGCCGATCGGTGGCGGCGTGGTCCTTCCCGCAATTAGCGCAGGATAATGGGCCATCCCTTGGCCTCNTTGCCCGACGTCCCTGTCGGGACGGGCCGGGTGTGCTGATGATGGGGGGAGAAGCCCCACCAGACATGATTTGGCTATCTTAGTCTGTATGCGGACATTAGTACCCTCACTGGGAGGTCAGCGACTCTAATTTATAATGACCTATGTCAAATGTCAGAGGCCCTATCGCCTCCCACCCAATGTAATAAAATAAAATAAAATAAAATAAAATAAACAGAACGACTAATTCGTAAATGTAACTATGACTGATTTCAATTATAACAAATAAACAAAGCAACTATTCTAACTTAATCTTGGATTATAAATTTAAAATTAATTAAAGTCAATTAAAGTCAACAATAATTTTATGAAATAAAGGTAAATAAAAATTAGAATAATATAAAAGGTAAATGAAAAAGAAGAATGCTAAAAATATACTATTACTATTACACAATAACGTCTGCCGCTGCAGGCTCCCACACGCGCTACACACTAATAACTGATAACTATGTCTGTAACTATCTAATCTATAATTAATAAGTAACTATAAGGAGTAACCATAACCTATGAACACTAAATAAATCAATGTAGCAATTTAATAATTATAAATGAAAAAGAAGGGAGAATAAAANCCTTGGAGAGGTGGTCCAGAGCCACGAAAAATACGCAGCCCTGTCTCCCCCTCTTGGCCTGGATGCACCGGGCATAACGGGCAGGAAAGCCCAGCTCCTTGAGGGCGTTTGTTACCTCTGCCGCATCGGTGTCGGCAGGGAGACCCCGGACGGCTACCTTCGAGGGTATCTCCTCCGCCAACGCAAAACAATACCATTTAATGGTTTTGTCTGCAGCGGAGGCCCTCGAGAGATAGTCCTGGATCACCCTATACTCCTCCGCCGATGACGGCAGGAAGCGGAAACCGGCGCCGTGGGGTCTGGCAGAAGGAGCCCTACCGAGGCGCTCCCTAATGGCCGCCATGTGGCGAGACCAATTCGGGAGAGCTTCCACCATGATAGGTGGATGACGGCGGAGCTCCTCCTGAGCCCGACCCCTCGGCCTCGGGGGTGGAGGAACTTGTGATTGGGCAGGTCTGGGGCGTGTACCTACTGGGGGTTGGGATGCGGCAACGGTCGCGTAGGACGTTGAGGGAGTGGGTTGAGGAAGGTTGGGAAGCTGTTGGGCTTTGGTGGACTCGAGGTCCATATACCTGGTGGAGTCCAGGTTACCCGCCGTGCCGCTTAGGGCGGGGGCACCACGAGTTGGATCCACCGGGATAGGGGATATGGTAGGGGAAGGGGATCGAGGGGGGGATCTGAGTGGGCGTGGGGCTACCCCTGTCCTGGCGGGGGCCCTCGGCTTGGGAACGGGTTTGGCTAATGGGATGGGACTCCCAGTAGGGGATGAAGATCTGGATGAGGATGGAGTAGTAGTGTTGGAGGAGGAGGGGGGGGAGGACGTGGCCTCACTATCCTCTCCCTCTGACTTAGAGGAAGGTCCTAGTCTGGGTCGCTTATCATGGTCCTCAGATGAACCACGGTCAGACTCGGACCTGGCCTTCTTCCTCGGCCGAGGTGGCCCAGGGCAATCGGTCGACAGGGGAACGAGATCTTCCCCCGGACCGATCCCCGGGGACACCCGGGCCGAGGCCGGAGGCCTGGCCGAATTGTCCTTACCGGGGTCCATCGGGACCGGTCGAGTTTGTGGAATGGGGCGACGGGCGAATAATTCGTCCATTGCCCGACGTCCCTGTCGGGACGGGCCGGGTGTGCTGATGATGGGGGGAGAAGCCCCACCAGACATGATTTGGCTATCTTAGTCAGTATGCGGACATTAGTACCCTCACTGGGAGGTCAGAGACTCTAATTTATAATGACCTATGTCAAATGTCAGAGGCCCTATCGCCTCCCACCCAATGTAGTAAAATAAAATAAAATAAAATAAACAGGACAACTAATTTATAAAAGTAACTATAACTGATTTAATTAACTACTATTATTATTCAGTGGTGAATACACCAACTGCTAATAACTACGAATTTTAATTTATTAATCTACTAATAATCAATTTCTGATAACAAATAAACAAAGCAACTATTCTAACTCAATCTCGAATTAAACATTTAAAATTAATTAAAGTCAACAATAATTACGAATGAAGGTAAATAAAAATAAAAATAATATAAAAGGTGAAAATGAAAAAAGAATGCTGAAATGCTACTACAATGCTACTACACAATGACGTCTGCCGCTGCAGGCTCCCCCCCACGCGCGGTATACACTAATAACTGATAACTATATCTGTAACTATCTAATCCGTAATTAATAAGTAACTAACTATAAGAAGTAACCATAACCTATGAACACTAGAATAATCAATGTAGTAATTTAATAATTATAAATTAAAAGAAGGGAGAATAAAAATATTAAATTAAAAATTAATTCAAATATGTCAATGAACCAACTTGAATAAATTATGAACAGTAACAGTGGCAGTACGGACAAAAGCACGGAAGGGGACCCGGGGTCCGATACCTCAGCCCGATGGCCCTCTAGGCAGGGGGCCCCCGATTCAAAGATGTCAAAATAATTTTGAGATCAGTAAGCCGAGAGGTCCACCGCCCAGGGGTCCACAGACTTCGGGATCCCACCACTCAAGTCTCCCCAACCGGCACTGAACTCCACCAACTGTTAATGGAGCCCTACCGAGGCGCTCCCTAATGGCCGCCATGTGGCGAGACCAGTTCGGGAGAGCTTCCACCATGATAGGTTGGATGACGAGCGGAGCTCCTCCTGAGCCCGACCCCTCGGCCCTCGGGGGTGGAGGAACTTGTGATTGGGCAGGTCTGGGGCGTGTACCTACTGGGGGTTGGGTTATGGGGGGACGGCAACGGTCGCGTAGGACGTTGAAGGAATGGGTTGAGGAAGGTTGGG